TTCTAAACTTGTAATAAAGAGAGAGAAGTTTATTGTCTGAAATTGGCTATTCAAGCTTTATCCTGAATACTTTATGAAATTCAGACTTTCAGTTAAGGGCATCATAATGCAGTGAAGTTCTCCTACAGTAATTATAGAAGTAAAACATACAGAAGCATGTGGAATATAGAAGTACTTGTTTTCAGCATTAACTTGGCTAGGCAAACAAAAATATTGTAAATGTACCATATACATTTTAAAGCTTTCCTTTGTTACTCCCAAACTTGATTTTGTTCACAATATCAGTTTAGAATGATGAAAAGAGTGTAGTTATGCTACACAGAAAAGTTTAGACAATGTTTATATAAGATCCTGTGCAAGTAAAGACTTGAAAAGAAAACAGTGTGCTCTTTTGACCAAAGCTACTGTGTATAGCATACTTCTGCAAAAAAAAAAAACCAACACTTTTTGGGGAAATAATGACTGGAGAAGCCATTTTGTATAGCTGCCAAAATTGGAGAACGTGATATATTCAAATATGGACATGGTCTAACTAAAAGTTACAGTTTTTTTATTCAGTATTCAAATTGAAATGCTTTCTCTACCTAGAAAACCTGCAGAATTATTCCATGAAAGACCTATTTAATAAGAAAGACCTATTTCCCTTTAATTTTCTTCTTCCAAAGAGCAATTGTTCACTTCCTTTGTAATCTAAATGTTGTTATTAATTGACTCCTGAATCCCAAGAAAAATATCTCTTTTTATTGCAAAAGAGAACATCACATTCAAAGAACCTAGAAATTTACAAAACATACATTAGATAATACATTTCATTAGGAAGATGTATTGTATCTAAGCTAGCATAATTACTAAGTACTGTGGCTTTTTTGAAAGAGCTATAGCGTACAAAACTATAAAAAGCCCTACATGAACTGCTGTTACAGGACAAAAAGAAATCCATATTTTATTCATACATTCTGAATTTTTAAAGGAAGTTGACTCCATGAAACAGCAATTTCAAATACAGTAATTTTACAATATGGCATGTTCTGTGCAATATTTTATAAATAGCATATTGTAGTTTTCATTTAAATATGTCTCTCAGAGAAGGCTACAATATTTTGTATGCAAGTGCTGTTACATATCTGTGATTTTGGGGTTTTTTGTTGTTGCTTTGTGAGGTTTTTTTTGTTAAAAAAAATTACTTAAGAGTGTGTTTATATTTCTAATGTTTATTTCTTGCTCTGGGAGCTGGTTTTAGGCATTACACTGTTATTCGCTAAATCAAAGAAATTATCTTCTAACAATCTACCAATTTCTATCACTTTTCCAATCTTGGCATTTTAAATTGCATCATGTATATCTATTATTTTTTATTTCCTATATGAATTAATAATTAATTAATAAAATATTGTTAAAATAATAAACAACAAAACAAAAAGCAATGCTTACATATTAAGTTTTCACATAGTTTAGACTCTCCAATTATGTGTCACAAGGCTATTAATTTTTAGGTATTTTTTGTTGCTAGGATATACAAATTTCTATATTAAATCTAAATAAAACATATAGCAACTAAGCAATCTTACCCTCTTGCTGTGGCTGATGTATACCATGACTGACACTTTCCCACTGTTACCTTTTGCTCCATTGTTGTCTTTAAAATTTTATGTAGAAGGCCTATTGTATGTGACATACTGTGGAGAAGACTGGGTATAATCACTGCAATCACTTCTTGCATTTAGTAGGTGACACTTTATTGCGAAACTATGATGCTTATTCTTTTATAGAAATAATTTACTTCTGGCATACTCTTACTTTATTTTCAGTTAAATTATTGCATATTTTTTGTTCATGGTAGTCAAGTTCTGCAAAGAGAATGAGGGAGTTAGGTCTGTGTACTAGATAAGCCTTTTGTATGGATCTTAAATGTATATTTTAGAACTTGGCTGGCTGTTGTTACTACTGCTGACTTTAAAAAATCTCCTTTGTTGTACTGAAGTCCTGAAGTAGAGGACTCTAGGAGCAACCTTTCTGAAGGACAGTGCTTTAGCAACACTAACTTCATATTTTCTTTCAAAGAAAACACATGTCTTGAAGGGAATGAAATTGAAAACACTGGACAGAGGGTAGGCTGAAAGACAAGTGAATGTTCTTTCATTGCAGCATTGGGAGCTGAGAGTTGGCTGGCCTAGATACCTTAAATGTTTTCCTATTGCTGTGTGTGCATGTGTGAAAGATTCAGAGATCTGTGTACATAACCACGTATGGACAATTCATACTTTACTGATTGAGAGAGAACTGGAAAAAAAAAAAAAGTGAGGAATATGGAAAACAAAGGTTAATTTTTGACTGGGAGATTAAAGATTAAAAGTTGTCTACAGTTTTGAATTCCGTCAAGATCAGACATCAAAATATGAAATGTCTAACCATTTAAATAAGTATATTTCAGTTTTTCAGAAGTATTGATGTTTGTTCAGGTCATAGACTTAGAGCCTTACTTATAACTGTCTTTGGTTGGACTTTCTTAAACTAAATAGAGTATTTCTGTTCTTGGATAGTTTAACTGACCCCACAAATTGATTGATGCTATGTAGTGAACCAAAACAGTGTGGTTTGTTTAAATTGAATAATCTGGATCCTTTGAAATATATTGAAGGCATTGTATTCATTATGCTTGCAAAACCAAAATCAGACATCTTAAAATGAGCTTTTTTTGGTGCTTATTAACAAAAAGAAAGACAAAAACATTACTTTCATATAATAACAAACTATTGAAAATCAATTCACTACAGACAGAAACTCACTCATTTTGCTAGCATTACACCTCTTGGTATTGCTTATTATTATGCCTTTACCACATAGGATATTAATCTTAAAATGTTGCTTTAATAAATAAGAAACATTTACACACTAATAAATCCTTCATTATATCAATTATAGAGACTAATGCAAAATAGGAATGCTGTTGGCATGCCAGCATAAGCAGTACATATATTTGATTCTGGTATAATGACATGTTTTGATGTAATAATTTTACCTTTGTTATACCCATAAATTATTACTGAAGAGCTTTTCTGTCTTACTAAAGACATCCTTTTTGCCAGTAAAAATTTGTATATTTTTCAGAAGAAAAGCCTCTAAATAATGATCATTTTGTGCCTGTCATTTCCGTACTGACTGAACTTAATGTGGAAATGCTTTTATAAAACTGTCAGTTCTTTAGAATTTTGATAAATTAAGCCTGCTGCATAGCATCCTCACTTTTAAATGAAGACTAGTTTTGTCAAAAAAAACTTTAGTTCTTTCAGACAAAATTCTTCTGTGCAAAATTATTTTTAATGTGTTTTCAAATGTGAAATTAACCCTAAGAATTCAAGGAATAGAAGTGTAGAAAAAGTGTACAGACATTTTTAACATTGTACAATTAATACAATATGATTTTTAAAAAATAGGATCCAGGGGTTAATCTATTGAATTAGATTTGAACTAATTAACCCGAGTCAATTCTAGGAAAAGGTCTGCAGTACATTCCACTAAACGTAAAATTATTCAGGCTTTACAGTGTGCCCTTTAAACTTTTCCTTTAAACTTAAAGGAAAACCTTTTCCCCACTGCCCCCCATATGAAAGGTAACCAAGTTTTCATGAGCAAAATAATAATATCAATCCTAAACTAGGCTGCATGGGCATATGCCAAGCTAGCTGGTAGCATAACTATTTTTGAAGGAAAGAAATAGCTGCATTGACATCCGATAAAATCTTTCCAGCATATGTAATTTTTTTCATATAAGACAGGTAAGTTCATTAAATATTATATTTTATGATCAATTTGGTATCATGTATTGACTTAAGGCCAAAAAACCACATCTTGTGATATTTTGGTATAGTGATACAGGTCTTAAATGTGTAGTAGTACAGGATGGACAAATTGGGCAAGTGGTTTAGCAAGACAGTAGCCAAAGTGGTTATTCCCCTCAATTCAGCAATGGCATGATGACGTCTGAGGCATCATTCCCCGTTTTAGACTTCCAGGTAGGTGAAAGACATCAACTTACTGGAGCATGGTCCAGAGGGAGACCACCAAGATGACTGTAGGCTGCAGCACATGATATGTGGAGAGAGGCGGTGAAAATTTGATTTGTTCAGTCTTTAAAAGGGCTTACGAGAGAGGTCTTTTTATCTGTCAGTTCTTTCAATTCTTCTTGAAGGTGTATTTGGATAGGGCAAGATGTAGCAGACACAAGTTAGATCATAGGCAATTCAGAGTAGATATTAAGAAAATATTTGGAACAGCTTGTGCTGAGAGGTGGTGGATTCTTGTCTTCAAAACTCAAATTCACCTAATTGAACCTTGCTTGAGTAGGGGCTTAAGACGAGAATTACCAAGATATTTTCTTGTTTTATCATGCTTTTCAGAGAAGTCTGTTAAATAGCTGTAACTTCTAAATGGTTGCTTTTTAAATTGAACCAATGAAAGGACAAAGTAAAACTTAACCTGAAATTCTTTTTTTGGTTAAATATTAGATGACAGCAACAAAAATATTTTGGTGGAGGAGAAATTTGTTTGAATGGCATAAATTCTCCTGAATTTGTTCATGATTACGTGGTTTGTTTAAAGATCAGTGAAGTTCTTTTCTTTTAGTCCATGTTGCTTATAAATAGGAAATGAAGACTGTGTGACATGCTTAGCTTTGTCTACCATTGTTTTTTAAAGTACAGATTTAAGCCTTGTTATTTTTGTAAAGTTGAAAAAAGGTCTTTATAAAGCATATGAAAGTGTCCTTGGAAAAAATGAGAAAGCTTCCTTTTGAAATAAAGAGTTTCTCTTTTGAAATAGTATCTTCATGTGCCTTTATTCAGTGAGATAATGTAAGTTAATTCAATTCTTCCTATTTTTCAGATACTCTAATTAAACATTCTTTTGCTTTGTGATTTTGTAATAGCCCATTTTCAGATCTGTTCTCCCAAACCCCTTTCTGTTCTAGTGTATTTTGAAATGTAAAAATATCTATAAGGAAGTCAAATCCACCAGAAACATTTCCTTTTCACCTTTTTTGTTTTTCTTCTTAACTCCTTTTTCTCAGGAGCTGGGTGATCAGATGGTAGTTTCTGAGGTGAAACTGAAGCTGGATTTTGCTCTGCATGATCCAGCGTTTTCAAAATCTGATGAAATCTTCCTTCTTGTTGTCTGAAGTCGTATTCTACACTATGGAAAAATTAAGATAGTTAAGGTAGTACGCAAGAAATTCCCTCTTTAAGCATCCTTTCCACATGTTTTTTTTTTTTACTTCATTAGAATAATTTGGCATTATTTAGTATTATAGCCTGGTTAAAATACAAGGCTGTATAGGTTGCTGCTTTGAGATTAAGTTCATCTCTTAAAGTTATTTGAGTGAATGCTTTTTCTTTGTGTGAGTTAAGAAGTCCAGCATTGTGCCTAAAACAACAGGACAAAAATTAAGGGAGAAAAAATGACAATGCCTTTCACTGCATGTTATTCAATGGTCAGATTTTGATACTGTAATCTAACTCAGTTGTATGCTTAGCATGAATTCAAAACTCTCACATGCTTCGCTATGGTAAATGTGAATGTTTCCTGCTAGGAGACCTGCTAGGACCAAAAATATATGAAATATCTAAGTGTTTGAGCTAAGTGGTAGTAGTTAACAGAAAGTATAATGTAAATCCTTTTCTCCATTGAAAACCATAATTATTGATGTCAAAGGGCATGGCCAGCAGGTCGAGGCAGGTTCTCCTTCCCCTCTCCTCTTCCCTGATGAGGCCACATCTGGAATACTGTGTCCAATTCTGGGCTCCCCAGTTCAAGAAAGACAGGGAACTTCTAGAGAAAGTCCAGCGGAGGGGCCACAAAGATGATGAGGGACCTGGAGCATCTCCTGTATGAGGAAAGGCTGAGAGAGCTCAGGCTCTTCAGCCTGGAGAAGAGAAGACTGAGGGGGGATCTTATCAATGTCTATAAACACCTGAAGTGTGGGGGCCGAATGGATGGGGCCAGGCTTTTTTTCATTAGTACCTTGTGACAGGACAAAGGGCAATGGGCAAAAACTGGAACACCAGAAGTTCCAGACAAACTTAAGGAAAAACTTCTTTACTGTGAGGGTGTTGGAGCACTGGAACAGGCTGCCCAGAGAGGTTGTGGAGTCTCCATCTCTGGAGATGTTCAAAACCCGCCTGGACACTTTCCTGTGCAACCTGGTGTA